AAGTTATTACGCGGGCCCGGGACACCCCGCCGGGAAGGAGGGCGGCCGTGGGGCCCGCCGCGGTGTCTTCTGTCCTACTCCGAGGAGGCCGACACAAAGAGCAGGACTGGGGGTTAAAGACCGCTTGCTCTTAAACAACCGGAGACAAGGGAAGAGCGCTGACTTCCCGGATTGGGTAGGGGTGGGACTCGACGTGCAAATCTGGAATCTAATGTGGGGCCTTATTACATAGGCGCCGTGCACTTCGGTGTGGCCTCAGTAAGCCTTGTTCCTCCCCGTTATAACAGCCGAAGCTCAGTAAAAAAAAAAAAAAAACGTCCAGCATAGAGTAGGATCCAGTGAGGATAGAGGTGTATTTTTTGCAATAATACCGGTTTGCCTTACGTATTGCGTGGGGGGTGGGAGGTGGACGGTCAGGATGTCATTCAGGGCGGAGGGAGGCTTTATGTTTTTCTCTGTCTTTGGTATATCTTCTGTATGACTCAAGGTCCCCATGTCGAATATTCAGTGGCCCGATGTGAGGATCTTATATGCAAACGTACATATTCCTGCCTTGCTCATCAAGTTCCTCAAAGTAAATAATGAATGGGGTTGGGTTGGGGAGTTAGTAATTTGCGAACGGAGCATGCCTCTCGGCATACTCTCATTTTTTTCCCAAAACTCTCACAAACCGGGTTTAATGCCGTTGAGGTTCCCTGACTACGCTCAACATACTTTTAGGACAGGGTACCCAATGAACCCTGCCAGGTAATGAAGCAGAAATAGCAAGAAATAGTGAACCAAAACGCTGATTTCTGCGAGCTTCTCCCAGATCAGAGGCTTTAAATTCTTTTTTTCATAAATTATTTCTTTGTTATTCTCCAAATCTATCTCTAGGTTTTCCTACATTCACAACTCCCAAATGCTACCTGATGGAAATCTGATGGATATGGAGAAGGGGAGGAGGCACAAAGCAAAAAATTAAACATGATTGCTACCCTCATCACTGGACAGATGCTCTCAACCAGCCTTTGCTTTGATTTATTCTCAGCTTATCATCTCTAATACCTGTACCTGTTTCAGGTTCATAGATGACAGAGAAAAACTTGATCCAAGTTCAAAGCGTTCAAAACTTAAAATTTAATCTTAGATTAAATGCAAATTAAATCAGTGAGACCGGTTTACATCCTTCCGGTTGATAAAGATATATTGAGTTTGTCTGGGTTTGGGAAATAGAACTTCGTGGACACTTACTGGGAATAAAAACGGTAAACCTCTTTGGAAGGAAATTTAATAATACCGATTATAATTTTATATGTAATATTGCTTTTCTCAGCAATTCCCCGTCTAGACATTTATGCCACGGATAAATTCAGACTGTAAGGATATTTGTTGGAGCACCGTTTATAGTAACAAAAGGCTGAGAACAACCTAAAGATCCATCTGTAGGAAGTGGTTAAAATACAGTACCGTTGGAAAGAATGAAGTCGCTCTACACGTGTTGATGTGGAATGGTCTCCAAATCATATTACTAGATGAAAACAGCAAAGTGCAAATCTGTGTATAAAAGCAAGGAATACTTGCAGGGCTGATAATATGCAGTAGGCACTCTGGTACATCTTGTGTATCACTAGCCTTCCTTCCAGTTGATTGTGCCTATGGTAAATATTTTTAATATTTGCCCCTCAAGATATATATATGTATGTATGTGTGCACACTTGTTCGGCCTTAGGATGTCTCCAGGGCCGGCCCGGTGGCGCACTGCGCTAGTGCGCCGCTTGGGAAGCGCGGAGGCGCTCCCGCCGAGGGTTCAGATCCCACATGCAGACCGGTTCCCGCTCACTGGCTGAGCGAGGCGCGGGGGCAACACTGAGGGTTGCGATCCCATTGCCGGTCCCGGTCCAGTGCGGGGGCGACACTGAGGGTTGCGATCCATTGCCGGACACGGAAAAAAGACAAAAAAAAAAAAAAAAAAAAAGGATGTCCCCAGAAGAATATACAAGAAACTAAGGACAGTCGGGATCTATGGAGAGGAA